TTCAAGAGTTCTGTACGAAAATTGATAAATCCATCCTTCCTTAAGAGCGAATGCAAGAGTTACAATCAGGGTGCAGCATCGTGATGTGTGAAATGGTGGTGTCGATACGACCCCCCCCCCCTTCTAGCCTCTCGAGGAAGGGCCCTGGTACGATCCCCCGCCTCTGCACCAAACCTGTCTACCAATTCCCCACATTTTTCAGTTTTTCACCCAGGGATTTTCCATCGAGCGGGGGGGGGAGGTCGGGGGCGCGAGGGGGTATATAGTACATAAAGCAGACAGGAAAATTCACGCGAAAAACGAACAAGCGGGAACAACGCCGCAAATTTCTCAGGCACATACGACTCTCCCCTCTCCCAACAACCGCCAAATACGACCCCCCTCCCCAGCGGAAAAGTACGACCTCCCCCTGTCTTTTTGTGTTTCACACAACCTGGTTACATCCCTATAAGCAGGTAGTAAGTTCATGTTGATAGAGTATTGCAGCTTTGGAGTACAACTAGACTTACTTATGCACATACATTACAACCTAAATACAACATCTATATAATACCTACCAATAACCCCTATAAATCTACTTATATAACAACCTCGTAAAGGGTTCTAAAAGAGGAATCCGTTACTTTAGAGCTTATTAATTAGTAATACATAACAACGTTGGCATCCTAATCATCACAGAATTATAGAAGAGGCACAAAAATTGAAAAAACCTTTATGCAAGCGAAAACAAAACGATTTTGAATGGCATTAGTGGAGATTACACAGAAAAAAAATTGCCATCGAATACGTTAAGATTTCGATTAATACGCATCAGAGATCAAGCTGCTAAGTGTGACCCGATCTTGTTCATGCAGCGCAATCGTATCTTAAAAATCGTCCAAAGCCATCACAAGCTGGTTTCTTTGATGTGACATATGTAGCAAATGGGTCTTGCCCGAATGAGGGACTTCACTTACGTTTCCTTTTCCCAGCTGGAACTTACAACTTGGCTGATTGTCTAGAGATGCTCTAGTATGATAATTGCTGCTCAAATCCGAGCTCGCTTTCCGAAGGTCATCACAAGGGATGCTGAGTTGTTCGCGAAACTCAGGCCTGGGCGGTACTCGAACCTGCACCTCACACTGAACGAGCGTGGGGGCTACTCTTTATACCATCAGGGCAGCTCTTACATTCTTAGCTCAATGGTCTCCTGTGATAACGTTGTAGAATAAGATGATTTTTCTCGGGTGAGTTTACTCATTGACGCTGATGGATTAATTTCTCCTCCTTTCCGCTGGGATAGAGAATCACTCTAAACGTGTGAGTGTGGCAAGGCGGCTATGACAAAAGCCATTGAGCTGATAGGGTAAAAGCAGCCCAGGTGGTGTAATGGACCCGATCAACGTGAGGTGCGGCTCCAGTACCGCCTAAGGTCCGAGTTTTGATCATAACTCATCATTCTCGCGGTTGACTGCTTTGTTTATTGTACAGTGACATTATTGTAGTGTACTCTTCCATTACACGTGAATTGGTTCTTGTGTGTAATTTGGCTCAATTTTGACGAAGCGCATTGGGAAGCAGTTACAGTGAAGAATGAAGAAAAAACAAAACAGGCCAAGACAGGCGTTTTTTGGTGTTTTTGTTGGGGACCAATTGAAAAGAAAAGGAAAGCATAAACAAATGTAAAAAAAAACATTCCAAAGCATAGACGGTCCGCTTCGCCTCTCCCATGGACGAGTCATCGTTATTTCGTAAGCCCCGGTGCTCGTCATTTTGGGACAGACGAGACAATAGTTAGGTACTCATGGCTGCACGCGCGACCCAGCTTGGGGCCATGACATCCTCGCGGTATATGAACTATCCCCACTACATATCTGTGACTGCCAGCATCGAATTTTTTCATTTATTTAGAACTTATATTCCAATAGCCGAAAGGTGAAGCCCGTTCATCAAGCGCAGCGTCCACGCCACGTCCCGCCTGCGCGGCATACTACGATTATCTTGTCACATCCCTTCGTCAGGGAGACGGGCAAGAGAATCGTAAATTGCCGCTCCGTCGCGCGCGGCAATGGGCGCGACGTTTCCTCATTTGCACTACCCTTTCGATTGGAGCATCGGATTTCATGTAGACAAGGACATGGTAGACACTTATGTCTATTTTTGGTCATACATTGTCTATTCTCGACCAATACCACCTGAAATCGTCGTCATTAGCGGGCGCGACGTCGCACGCGACGCCACTGGCGCGGCGAATTACGATTCTCTTGCCACACCCCCTTTGTCAGTTAGATTGAAGTTCAGCGAACGAAGCCTGACGCAGCACCTATGAGTCAGGATTGTGGATTTACTGTTGATCTTTCCCTTGTAGGGAAAAGCACTTTCGCGTAGAAAGAAGGCTTTTTGTTATACTGTGTTGTTCTGAAGGACGGCTCGGCCATCTCCTTTGTTTGGACTTGGCGATTTTTTGTGGGCTCAAGAGAATAAGTACTATTAGGTTGTTGCATAAGTTCTTATACACGTGTTTGATCCTCTCCTATTTCGTTCGCATGGATGTTGGTATTACGTCATCACGTGTGCGTGACGTGTACATTATACTCTTTCATTACACTAGCTATCACTCACCGAGCTTGCATTTGCAGTACACAATGTCGCACAATTTGCACTGTGACAAAACGTACCTGCGCCACTGTTTGGTTTTGCTCCACGATTTCGGCTGGAATGCAAAGGAAGCCCATACCAAGCTGGTGGATACATACGGTGAGGACGTCATCTCTTACATGACATGCAAGAATTGGTTCGCCAAATTCAAGAAAGGAGACTTTTCTCTCGAAGATGCTCCGAGGTCGGGTCGGCCGATGGAGTTGGATTTGGAAGTACTACGTTCCACCGTGGAGGAGGACCCGTACCTCACCAGAGAAATGGCGACCATGCTTAGCTATGATCATTCGACGGTTGCACGTGGACTAGAAAAGCTCGGCAAGGTAGCAAAGCTTGGTCGATGGGTCCCACATGAACTGTCCGCTTATGACCTCTCGAGGAGGGTGACCACCTGCACTTCTCTCCTCACTTTCCAAAAGAGGCTTCACTTTCTCAACTCGATGATCACTGGAGATGAGAAGTGGGTCCTCTACGATAACCCTGTGAGGAAGCGGCAGTGGGTCGACAAAGGAGAACAGCCAGAAGCCACCCCAAAGGCCGACCTTCACCCCAAAAAGGTTCTCCTGTCCTGTTGGTGGTCCAGAAGAGGCATGGAGTACTGGGAGCTGCTGGAGAAGGGACAGACGATTGACGCTTCCACATACGTGACCCAGCTGCGGAAATTGAAAGATCACGTCGACGTACTCGTGGAAGGAATGCGGAAATCTACTTCCACCATGACAACGCCCGACCTCACACTGCAAAGGCGACCCAGGCCGAGCTGGAGAAGTACGGATGGCTGATGGTCGCCCACCCTCCCTACAGCCCTGACCTCGCTCCTTCTGACTACTGGCTGTTCGCTGCACCTGCAGCGCTATCTGGACGGAAAAAAGTTCGAAACAAAGGATCAGGTCAGAAAGGCGCTCGACGACTTCTTCAAGTCCCAGCCTCCGTCGTTCTGGAAGGATGGAATCGACAAGCTGCCTGAGCGCTGGCGTCGAGTAGTGAATGGTGATGGTGCATACCTCTAATCTCCAGGCTGGTTCGTTTTGAGATATTTACAAAAAAGTCGTGTATAAGAACTTATGCAACAACCTAATAGCTGTACCGGGCGCTGTTTGTCGACGGGGGGGGCATTTTGTATTATCATTGCTTCCCTAGTTCCGGTTTACAAATCTCACTCTGGTAAAACTTGTGAACTCTTGTGAAGCTGAAGTAAGATCGTCTAGCCACTATCCTAAAACGTGTCAACTCGAGAAACGGCTACCTAGATGGGTCGACACATCTATGGAAAGCAAAATGCCCCCCCCGTCGACAAACTGCGCCGCTGTACCGTTTCTAGTTTGATTGATGACTTGACTATGCTTATAAAACACATCTTTCCGTCAAAGTTATTGGAGAACAGTTCATTTGCCGCCGATTGACATCATCTCTGTACTGCGCCATGCATCCCACTCCCATGCAGAAGTGTTGGAAAGGTGAAAGTGCTAGATAGGGCTTCTCCGAACAAGCAGATGTACTCCTGGGGTTCAGAGACTATTTATACACGATGTCGACGTGGACCGCTTGTCATCTGAGCTTTCAGCCTGCCTCTAGATTCAGGCATCTCTGTAGATATTCTTCACAAAAAATACCATGTCTAAATCGTCTATCATTCAACGACTTACATATCCTGCTCTTCCAACAACAATGAGCCCTCAGCTTATGACCCCCTGCCTGTGATTTTCGCAACGTTGACGTGCCTTGAGGGAAGGGCATTTTGCACTTTCGCTGCTTCTCATTGCTGCATCGGGCCATAAAGTGGAATCGTGAAGTCCTGTGGAGCCATGGAGTGATACCAGCTAGAGAATGTAGAAATCATTTGCCGACTTTTGGAAAGCACTGAACACGACAACGGGAAGCAACAAAAGTGCAAACTCCAAACTCCTCCCCCCCACTCGCAGAACTGCGCCCAAACTCCTCCTTCAGCACAGCAAAGCTTCATTACTTAACAGACATAAAAATACACGTTTTATTCAAATCACACTTCAAAACCGATGAAAATATTCACAAGGAGGCGATGAAAACACCAATCAGGATCATGCTGTCATTGAATAGAATTAATTTGAACAAGCATTTAAATACATTATGACTTTGGAGATATGGAGATTTGAATGAGATTTACACAAATGACAAATGAATAAGCATTCCATAGGAACCTTGGCTTCAACAAAAAAATTGGGTGAACTAGTAAATAACTAGTAGTAATCAAATGATTTTGCCCAGAAACGGCGAAATGTTCAGCAAGAAAATAAAAAGAAACAAAATATGCTACGTTGCATAGAAAACATAAAAAAAATTGTAAAACTTTGACGTAACATTCGCAAATGTATTTCATGAGATACTTAGATGGCCAAAGTACAACATTTCGCCGAACCGCCGCTCTTGATGAATTCACTCATGTCGACGAATCTAAAAAAAAAGTTCAAACCAATTCGGTTACAGTATTCTGGAGCAAGATTATGTTGGTTTGTCTCTGGTCTTTTGTTCAAGCATGTTCTGTGAAGAGGGCCGAAGTCTCATCTGCGAAATCTGAGCCTCATTCATTCAATCGCATCCTCAGTCATTTGTAAACATACCAGGCCACCCGCGAAGAAAGACCTACGAGCATTTCGATCCCCTTGATCTTCCCGGTTGCCAAAGCCCAACCTCACTGCACTTCTACTACTTTTATTGATACCGTTCCGCATAGCAATGTACTGTCCCAGAGCCTCATGGCACCTCGTTGTTTAACGATAACGTGAGTTCCGAAAATCTTTCATATCGATAGGGTAAGCCCTTAGTATACAGTATTACAGTAGACAGTATTAATCCCGGGGTAGGCGAAACTACAGTGGTTTGCATGCGGTAAGAGACGAAACAACCACTACTTTTTGAAGTAGGTGTTCTACATTACTACTTCTTATAATTAGGGTGCCGGTTCGTGTGAGTTGGGTTACCAATAATACGAGCACTTAATTCAGGCCTGACAAAGGTGCTAACAAGGAAGTGTTTTAGGTAGTGGAGCGTGTTTTCAAGCAGTTGTCTGCATTTTGTAGAGGCCCGTACTGGAACCATAAAAATGAAGTTCATTTTCGCTGCGCGTGGCAGTGCGGAAGAAAAGTGAACAATAGCCCAGTGGTTCGGATCTCCTAGGTGACATAATTTTGCATTCCTGCAATTTCAATGTCCTTGTGTTCATACTAGCAAACCTGATGTCAGTTTTAATGTTTTAGGTTTAGTTTTAATCAACTTAATACTACGTAAAACCCATAAGTATCTGAATACCCTTGAGATTTCCAGCCAAACCTGGAACGTGCCACCCAGGAGCGATTCACTCGTTTTCACTCTATCATTAGCTGGGCCATAGAGAGCAAATTCCCTTCTCCCCCCTAGAATCTTTCGCAGTGTACCGTATTGCACGCCACGGCAGCATTCGCCTGTCAAGGCGGTGAACACATTGAAAGGGGGAGGAGTGCATTTTGCTAGTTCGCCATGCATTCACCAGTTTTCACCATGCTGAGTCCTGCGAACTCTTGTGAAGCTTCAAGATTGGTCAGGCTTCGCAGGGCCGCTTCAGTGGGACTTGTGAACTCTTGTAAACTCAGGAAATGAGCTTCATTATGTGAGGCTGTATAAGCCCCACCAGATTTTACAAGTCTCAAGGTCGAAGAGAAAATTAGATGCCCCTCCCAAGCCGAGCAGCGCCGAAAATCTGGGGCCTAGCGTGAGCCTTTCCTGCATCATTGCTTCCACCCCGGCGAATCTTACCTAGCTTTCCAAATCCGTTTTACAAAAAAAAATAATCCGGGGAGATGGAGGACCAAACACGAGAAGCGCTGGGAATCTACGTACTCTTCCCCACGATTTCCACACACTTTCATACCAAAGAATACTTCCGAGAACCTATCGTACCTAACGGTCCCGGAACCGGTAAAACAAAAGATAACCCGCAAGTATTTCCTTGAATACTTATTTTTTCCAAACCTTTTAGCCTACATTTGAAGAGACTGCCATGAAATTTGAGGGCTCTCGGCGTGTTTCAGCCTTTTTCCCCTACTATAATCAAAGTCTCGATGACCATTCGCCTCTATTCTACACTGCAGCATAAAACTGTTCCAATTTTTAATCAATGTAATTGAACTATTTATGGCTGATCTCTGGAAAATGCAAGAAAAACTTACTTAACGCTGAAACCAAGTTTTTCCAACTTTGTAGCGATTTCCTCGTTCCCTTGATGCATCACAATATTTCGTCCTACCACAACGGCATTACAGGCAAAATTGCGGGCTTCCTTATCAGACACCTGCAAAAATTGTCTTCAATCCTTCAAAAATACTTAACTGTACTGTGACTCTTCCTCAAAGGGTACGATTCTCGCTACACCACAATGTTCACTTGAGAAAGCCCCAAATGATCAGAATTTGTGAATACAGATCACAGAAATTCCTCAATTCGCATAATTTCTCGCTGAGTTCTAGAGACGCCTACGAACTTCTTAATATTAAACCCTTCGACTGCCCCGTAACTATTTAGAACGACACTAAAACTTACAGGTAAGAGATCAGTTTCATTGTGCATGTTGTGCTGACTAATATGGTCGAAAGCGTAGGGGTAATACATTGCTAGTTCTTCATTTAACGGGCAGAAGGCGGTGTCAATGTGGTAAAATCTGCAATAAAGAGGTTAAATGTAAACCACTATAATGGCAAGCTGCGAACAATTCGGAAACTTCGGAAAACATTAGTTCTTTAAGTTCAGACTTGTTATAAATAGTAAAAGTATCGTATGTATGTCGATTATTTTTTTTCACTGACCGTGGGTCTACCAATCGGCATCCAAGAGCCTTCCATGACGAGCCATCATTCAATTTGTCAGTGATATCCTTCAACGCTCGGACATCAGTTCTTGGCCCAACCCCTGTGAATAGAGTCCGATTTCCAGCGCCACCCCATAGAGCATCGCCAGCACCTGAATAATTCCTTTTTTCACACAGACATAGTCTAATATATCTCTCACAATAGCAGATTTTTGATCTCATCGTCAGATTCTCCCTCATGACTTGGCGCCGAAGCAGAAGTGACCCACACATGAGGGTAGTTTCATCATCCCTCTCTCCCGCAGCGACTCGTTTTTTCTATCTTTTGTTTGTTATTGTTCTGTATTTTGGAGAATTTGGTAACCGTCATTCAGTCCGCGAATAAAATCGCTGTTTTGTCGCTGACAAGCGTTAGATTATGAGAACCACCCTAGCGCGGTTTTAACTGAAAATCTGCTGTGCAACTGACGCAGCGGCAAGGGGCGTGCTTGGAGGATCAAACCCCGAGGCTGAATCATGTTTGGGAAGCTTTGGATTCCCTCCATCATGGAGCGCCTATTCGGATTTGAGGGAAGAAGTAGAAGAAGTGCCTCCCGTTATCACTTGCCTAGGCTTTTCTGGTGTTGAAGTACCTACCAAAACTCCTTCACCGAGAGTCGGATGCGTGGTCAACTCTCAAAGAGATTGAAGGACCTGCAGCGCTCCACCCTCCTTTGTACATTGTATGCAGTGTTCTAACTGTTTATACCGAATTGTAAGCGGACCATCTGCATCCCTTCAGTACCGCTGGACTTAAAGACATGCCTCCCACCAATTGCCAGTTCGTAAGCGTCGTTCCTTGCTTAAGTAGTCCGGCCTGCGATGTCCAAGACTGGCCCACTCGCGGCTTGACGCTGTGTGAGGAAGGCATCGCGGCCCTCATAAGTGGCAGTTCCGACACCTCCCTAGTGTCGGAACTGCCACGCCCACCAAAACTCGAAGACTATTTTCTGGGACGAGTCCAGTTTTTACACCGTGTCTTTCGTTCTTTTTTCGCTGTTAGATGGTATTAGCATTGGATGAAGCGAAGATCACCATTAGTGAGCCAGAGGCAGCAGGATATCGCTTCGCTGGCATGAAACGAACAGGTGTAGAGAGCTAGTACATTGAGACGGTCAGTGATCCTTACCTAGGGTTTGTTCGACGATTTTTTTTTGCTTTTTTCTCCACTGGGAGTGACTTAGCGACTATAGGTTCATAATCGAAAACCACTATAAGGATATGAAAATTCTGGGCTCACCCTACCCTGCCCTACCTCACCGAGGAATCCCGGGTCTCCCGAAACTACAATGGTTTGTATGAGGTAAGGGACGAAGATAACCATTGCTGTTTTGTAGCAATTTTTCTACCTATCTTTAATTCCTGTTCTAGTTGCCTTCAAACCTACTAAAGGAAGTCAAATTCTAGAAAAGTGCGACCGATTCACTGAATATCCGGCAAAGTTGTTCAAGAGCCTCGTGCCGCGCGTTACGTTCATGAGAAAATGCTCACTGAGACGATTGGTGATAATAGCGCTATCGCCTTTTTATTTACCGAACAGACAATATCCCACCATCGCAATGCGCTTGCATGACGTTCTTTACACAAATGTTCTCTGATTAATCCTCACTGTTTTGTTTCCTTACAAATTTACAGGACATCGAAACAACTTCTGCAGGGGTTATTCGAGGCAAATTCCATAATTCCGTACTAGTAGAGTCTCCTCCGATGGTATGGTCCGCTGTTTCTTAGGTTGTCTCGCTTTCACGTCCCGGCAGTGAATGACGAGGCTGCTGCAGTAGCCAAGATTGAGAGGACCGTTCCCCTAGAGATCTGCCGCGTCTGGAGATGTTGCAAAAAGGCATAGTCCATTAGGTCTTTTGGTCTCGAAAGCTTACGCGAAAAATTGTGAACATGTTTAATCAATATTGCTATGTTTTACTTATCGCACTCGCTATCAGTTGCTGACCGTGGCGCGTCCGCTGGGCGCAGAATAAATAAATAAATAAATAAATAAATAAATAAATGTCTGCTGATTCTTCCAA